GCATCCACCAGAAAAATGAAACATGTACTATTAATTTATTTCAATACCTTACTAAACACTGAATGTAGTCCAGTAATATTTTATTATTCCCACAAGTGGAACAAATCGTATTATTCTAATTGTTTTTTTTTCTCCTGTTTTGTACTTCTTTCCTTTCCCTCTACCCAGTGAGTTACAGAACCCCTATACAATTACCCAGACTTCAGCATAGTAAAGATAAGGTATTATTGTTCTCTTTTCTCCAGTGAGAGTGAGGACAAATATATTTGTCCTTTTAGTAGCAGTTTCTTTCATTAGGTATTACATTTTAAGCATATGATTAAAACCATGATTTCAGTTGAACTTCTGAACTCTGTTCAAAATAAAGGCTTAAGTTCAGGAAAACACATGCATTGTGCCAAACTCATACTCGGTTTGTAGACTTCTTAATCCTACTGCTTTCACGCTATTGTCATACTTCCACCATCAATGTATGTGTGCCTTATTAATTTCACAAATACATGTTATTTTACCCAGAAAATGTACCATGATGGAATAAAGTGAAGTTACTGTGAACTAAATCTTGCCAGATCTTATAGGTATTCTCAAAATAAATTTAAAACTAACTTTTTGTCACCTCCTGCTTGGCAACCTTACCTCAGTTGCCTGTCATTCCTGTCTGATGAAGTTCATGTTGTTTCTTCTCTATCAAGTGCTAGCTTCAAGGTAAGAAGCACAAATGTGCTATTGTTGCAGTGGGAACAGAAGGGAAAAGAAGTATCATTGCACTCACTATACGAAAATCTGCCACAGAGAAAGCAATGGGCAAAAGTGACAAATATTGAGTCAAGAGGATAAATTCCCAAAGACTCTATTATATCCTAGAAGATGCTAACTGCAATGTATTTTTTTATTATTCTTTTGTCATGAAGACCTAAAGATTCTGTCTTTTTTTTTTTTGTCTTTTTTTTCTTGTCTTTTTTTTTTTTTTTTTTTGGCAGCACTTGAATAGAATCTTGTGGCACCCAAATAATTTTCAATTGAATCAAGTTTGAAAAAGACCTTGGGTAAAATCTCACCCTTGCTAAAACCATTAAAAATTTTGCCTTCAAGTCCCTTGAAAATTGCACCACATAAATTAGGGATGTATTGGCAACAGTGGATCTTTATAGTCCTTTTTTTGGAGTATTTTCTTAGACTCTTCCAGAGCGTAGTTTCTTTAAAAGTTATGTGACCTATTGGATACTGTCATCATAGAATTCTTTATCAAAATAGATGGCAAAGAATAGAAATCAGTATCAAGTACAACAGAAAGTAATACAGTTTAAAAGTTCATGGTAAGGCCAATAGTTCATAGCTGATTTGGAACAGCAGAACTGAAAATTCCTAGTTGGAGCATGGGTAAGAAAAGGTAGAAGCAGCAGCTTGTTCCCTTTCTAATCATCTTTGGCCTGCCATCAAAACTGGCAACAAAAAGAGGTAAAACCCTTTTCTACCCCATCAACTCATAGAGGAATTAGAGTTCCCAAGTATAGGTTCAATTTAACATATTCAGATTTCAGCACATGAACTTCAGTTTCAGGATTGCCTAGACTGAACTTTGGGTTTAATATAACCCCTTTGGTTTTTGAGGTTATTGCTAAAACTGATGAATTTTAACACAAATGTAGCTCAAGTGACTCAAGGTGGAGGGGAACCCATCTTCAGAAATAAATGGTCTTTATGGATTCATCACATCAATTACAGTGTGATATTAAGTCACTTCCAACAGTGCATTTCTATAGTATGCACTTTGGTTGCATACCAATATGCAAATCAATCCATGTTTTGTAATTTTAAAGGGATGTATTTCATCTCATATGTAATCTTTCCATGGTTTCTGGGGAACTAAAGAAAACAAAATTAGAAGTATCCCTCTCAGTATTCTACAAACAGTGGGGGACACTAGTTCTAATTTACTGAATATGAAGAAAAAGAGTGCATACCTGAAGTCTGTCTTTTGATGAAAATTTGAAATGAAGTCAACTAGATCAGTCAGCATATTGATATTTTTATTTAATGTCTTCTTTAATAGAATAATTTTCTGTATCTCTGCATTAAAACAGTAACTACCTTGTTGCATAATACAAGTTTTCTCTCACACTGTAAAATGATTGATAGTCTAACCACTGCATGCAAAATATGTTTGCCTGCAGACACCATCTTCCAGCCGCCATTACGTATATTCAGTTAGCAACACTGCCTTTCAAATCTGATGATGTCAAGACATTTTGGTTCTGCTTCTACTCCTGCCTTTTTGTTATCTTCTTGCTCTCTAGTAGATACAGGCTACACTGGTGATTCTGCAATTGAGTCACATCACCTTTGTGTCAGATGTGGACATATTAGATCATGACAGAAGAGATTTTGACATTATCCTTCTAAAAATTTAATTGAACTATAGACTCAAACATGAGATTTCAGAGCCAGGGATTCATATTTCACAACTGTAAGATACATATGGGAACACAGGGAGAAAAAGCCGTGTTATTGACACACACATTTCTGGGGTTTGAACCATCATATGATTTTTTTTCTGCCAGCTTGTGTATGAAAAAGTGAAATAATTCAGATTTTCTGATTGAGACTAGTATGCTTTTTGTCAAAATATCCAGGCATTTCTTTGGCAGATTTATTCAGAGAAACTCTCTCTGGCCCCTCAAAGACACCAGTGACAGGATATACATATCTCCTTAGGTATTGAAGTCTGAACTCACCACCCTAAGGTCCCTTACCAGTCAAAGGAAAGAAAGACATGTCCCGAAGGAATTAATCTCATCATAAAACAGATGTCGAAAGTAAATCATAAGGATCACTCTTCAGATGTTCTGCTTTAAGACATCAAAAGTTAGGCAAGATAAATCCCACCCAAATCGACAGAGTCCAAACTTGATACACTGGTAAAGGAAATGCTTTCAGAAACAATTCAGGTTTTATAGTCTTGTTTTCATCTGCTTCCTTCCTTCCTTTTTCAAAAGGGAGACGTGAGAAGGAGCATGTAAGTTAACATTTCTATGAGCTACAAGGTATTTAAATGTAACAAATTATTTTCCATAATCCCTAGATAGAAATAAGAAGTTAACTGAAACTAAAAATCAGTCAATTTGTCCAAAAGTTCAAATAAAATCCTATACTCTCTTTGTTTCTTTGGTATTGGATGCCAAAGTAAGGTATAATGACTGTGACTAAATGCCTCTCAGAGGAAAAATGCTAACATCAACAGTATGTGTATGTCAATAACCATCTTGTAAAGAAAGAAAATACAGGGACCTCTAATCACATCTAATCATTGTTCTGAGCAACAGTTTGGGTTTTTTCCCCTCTGTGTTTCTAATGTTTCTTATATGAAGTTATCACATATGCTGTCAAATAATGAAGTCTTTCTGGCAACTGACAATTTAAAAGAAAAGTATACTACAGAAAAGACAGTCTCATTGGTTTCCATAAATTCATATGGGCCATGAACAATTAGGACAGTTCTAAAAATAGATTAATGGATAATTGTCATAAGACCTAACTTTCACAGTTACTTTACAGGATGTCTTTGGGATAAAGTAAACACAATGTTTGGCATAATAGTTGCATAATTTACTATTTCCATTTTATAAAACATCAGATACATTGTTGCTGTATTTGATGGAAACTACTGTAGAATTATAAACTGTACTCATTTTTAAACTGAAAATATATCATGTAACAACAGTGCATTACCAAAATTCAAGTTACACTAAGCAACCATAATTACAGACTCATCAGAGCTACATAAAGCATTATCAGATAAAGTTTGGGTGCATCTATCTATTGTTATAAGTAAATGCACTACTTTAGGTAGCAAGAATCATTAATAGTCTGAATTAAAGATGGCAAGAGAAAAAACCAGCACCCTCATTTCTCAGGATGCCTAGTGAGACAAGGAGGGTTCTATACAGCAACAGCATTGTAAGGATGAATAAATAGCCATAAAGCTGGCTTGTACTGCGTGGAAGCTTGCAGATGGTGGATGAATTCATGTCTGTCACGTTTTTATAATACAATGACTTTTACATATTGCTGCCAGATGGAACATAGTTTTGCATCTTGAATATAAATCTCCAAGAAATACAACTTCCTTCAATGTGTTCCCTGTATTTGAAACAAAAATAAATTCAGAGGCAGGTTTGGGAGGCTAAAGCAGATTTAAGGAAATCTGAGAGAATATAAATTAAATCCTCAAGGGCTTCCTTGTTATAACTCAGTTCAAAATAATGGAGTTACCCATGTGTTCTGTATTTTTTTAGGAAAAACAGGAAAGGTATCATATAGTCTTCTACAGGAAAAACTGCATGTCATCTATCAAATGCAAAATACATCCTAGGCAGGTCCAGAAGACCTTTCAATCGAACTTACTAGTAGTTTGGCAAAACTTTTGCATAACATTTATTCTTGCTTCAATAAAAAGAGATATCTATCCCACAAGATCAGATCATAAAAGTACACTGCATGAAGCATAAATGCATTTAATCTTTGCTGATATTGAACATCTGTATCTATACCAGAGAAGCACCTTGCCATTCTCCTTGTGTTAAATGATACCTAAACAGACCTAATATCTAATTCAGACCTGATTACACCAGTCTTTATATAGATGTGCTTTCTCAAACTATCAAGAAAGTACAGAATTTTTTTCTTTTATATATGCTTACCCATCACACCTGGCTTTCTCCTGTGTGCCTGGTCTTTGTTTCTAATCCTAGCTGGTATTGCTAAGAAGCGAACAACTGATAGCAATGAAGTGAACTATATGACTGTAGGGGAGAATAATTTCCCATTCAATGATTTCTCACAAAGTCTGATTTGATGACAAACTTGAGTTGACTTCCCTCAGACAGCCTCAAGCGTTGTTTATATGCAGATAATTCTTTGTGTGAACCCATTAGGCTTTTATGACAGTTATAATCACGTATGATTGGGAAACCTTCTGGCTTACTTGGATCCATACTTACATTGTGCTTTGTGAGGTTGGAAATGTTACTCGCTATTGCTTGTAGCCAGTCAATACAGTCTTCAGCAGAGAGACACTGAATTATTCCACTGCAAACCCCATCCACAGCAATTACTTGGAACGCATTTTGCCTATAGACATGTCATAACAGATCAGGTCAGAAGAAATTTTCATCTGTTCTAGCATATCATCTTAAAAATACTTGTAGAAATGCTTTTCTTTCAACTACAATGAAGGTCAGCCACTGAACACTGATAAATTGCTGGTTTTCCTGTTTTACAAATACCTGACATATTAAAACAATCATGCTAAAAGGTCAACTCAGACTATATTAAGTTTCCATAAAGCTATAAAAAAATTCCATAGACAGAACCTTGACCAACACTGCATGACTTCAGAAACTAAACAAGTGAAATAGCTGATGCATACCAAAGAGTTAATACTTTAATACTGCAGATTACAGAGAAGGAAAGTGTACACTGGACACTGTAGGCAACCATTTGTGAAATTCAGTGGAACACCAGTACCTTTTTCTCAACAACTTTTGTTTCATTTTTCTAATACATTGTTTAAACACAGTAAGATTCCTGTCTGGATACCCCTTGTTGGCTGCTCTTGGTTATAAAATTTTGATCCTCTTCTAAACTACTGATAGAAAAGCTGGAGAATTAAAAATCAATCAGGTGGCATTAATGATTTTTCCAATTGCATTTCTGACTATAGAATCATTAGCAAAATACACTGGAATGCCAAGAGATATCCAATGACAAAAGCAGTGGCCACCTGGGTGCCTCTACCCTAGCACCTATCTGGGCACCTACACAATAATCTGTCATGCATTATAGACTGCCTTTCCACAGCTGAGTGCTGAGCAGTTACAGAACAAGAGAAAACTTTCAGATGCTAAAGCAGTAGCAGACCTGATTTCTTCGGTAAATAACCTTCTTGACTAACAGCCTTTGGAAGGCTCATAGGTCTTTGGCTTCAGAACCAAAAAACCTCAATATTAATCCATATCCCAGAGTCAGAGATTACTAAACATACAGAGAATACCAAGTTCCACTGCTGGCATTCTGCTATAAACCCATCCATTAGTGATCAATTCATGGTTTAAAACTAAGTACATCATTCACATTCTTTGAGAATGACTCAGACAGAGTGTTATCTTCAGTGTAAAACTGTCACTGACGACAGCTTCTGACATCTCAAGACAGATATCCATTCTGCAAAGTTTTGGGGTTTTTTATCTCTTGAAATTTTATTCTAGTTGTATAGAACGTAGAGCTAATATCTATCTCTACCATAAAGGTCTTTGCTGCATCTGTGTCAAGTACAAGCTTTTCCTTCAGTCAGGAGAAGCATTAAAAATGAATTAGAGCCATGCCTTTGCTTTGAGACTGCCATCATGAGAACTAGCTCTTACAGGAGGATAAATCTTATATATCCTAACATGATCATGCAGACACCAGTGGCTTATCTAAATCCATCAGCTAACTTATCAGTTTAGTTGCCTTTTCACATGGGTAGTGATTTTTCTTTAAAATCCCTAAGGTACAAATTGAGAGCTACTACTTTCAATGCCATTTTCACAATAATTCAGGTAAAGTTTTTGAGAAAGATTTATTTAAAGCATCTTCAGGTAATGTAGCTAGCATTTATTTACTATATCCTTTATTTTAAATGGCTATAAATATAAATAGTAAATTCTTCCAGCACAGAATTCTAAATAAGTCCTTACATAAAGAGCATAGCATGATGCTCAAATTTGTTGATTATCTCTTTCAAGAAAAACAGCTTTATTTTCAGGACCCCCCTTCTTTCTACTCATCCTATTGTAAACGAAAGTAGGCATCCAACGAATCTATTAAGGTGTGACACCAACCTACACAAGGAAAGAAAACCCAGTATGTTGCAGATTCAGTCCTGATGCACAAATTTCCCTTACATTACCAACACAGTGAATCTGATGCATTCGGGGCATCAGACTGTTCCTACTGTTCCTAGGTATTTGATCTGTGCACATACAAAACCATTCATGCAGAATGTTCTTGCTCAAGTGTCAATAAGCACAGACTATAAGAATGCATGGCTACTTAATAAATTACTTCTGAATGTATCTGGGCAGTAGATAGCCTTAGCCTTAGATTACTCTAATAGTATTTTACTGAATTAGTTTACCAGCCAAAGTCCATATTACCACACAAACCTGAAAAAATAATGTATTAAATATGTGTTTTGTATGAAATAGGACAAATAGTAGATGAATCACTTTATAATACAGCAAAAAACTTAAGATCAGATGAATTCTTATTCAGCTACGCATCTTAGGTTCTTTGCCTTCTGGAACTCAAGATTTGTATTTGAAATTAATAAGCTTTCCAAGACGAACCTGAATGCCCTCTGGAATTTTATATGAATACCCTCTGGAATTCATGTGTCTCAAGCATCCCACTAGAAAAGCTTGAATTGATTAGGAGGCATAATAGTGTCTGTGATAATGATATGATGTATTTCTGTGCCAGTCTTTTCAAACTCTGAAACATAAAAAGTTACTAGGCTTTATATAGTGAAAACAGCCTTGTAAATATAACTACAGAAAAAGTAATGAATTAAATTCCATTTAATGTGGCTTATTATATTATTTTCAATATCCTTTCCTTAATGTTGCTTTTTATAGCAGTCTCTTTTAAAAATTATCTACCTTTCTCTCATAACAAATTTTGAGAGGGAGTCACATTTTACGATGTTTACACTAATTTAAGAGACTTATAAACTGTTTTGCTAGCAACACAAAATGTTGGTTCTACACTTTGTCGTGGTTTAACCCCAGCCAGCAACTAAGCACCACGCAGCCGCTCACTCACTCCCCCCCCATCCAGTGGGATGGGGGAGAAAATCAGGAAAAGAAGTAAAACTCCTGGGTTGAGATAAGAACGATTTAATAGAACAGAAAAGAAGAAACTAATAATGATAATGATAACACTAATAAAATGACAACAGTAGTAATAAAAGGATTGAAATGTACAAATGATGCGCAGGGCAATCGCTCACCACCCGCTGACCAACACCCAGCCAGTCCCCGAGCCGCGAATCCCTGCCCCCCACTTCCCAGTTCCTAAACTAGATGGGACGTCACATGGTGTGGAATACACTGTTGGCCAGTTTGGGTCAGGTGCCCTGGCTGGGCATGAGAAGCTGAAAAATCCTTGACTATAGTCTAAACACTACTGAGCAACAACTGAAAACATCATTGTGTTATCAACATTCTTCACATACTGAACTCAAAACATAGCACTGTACCAGCTACTAGGAAGACAGTTAACTATATCCCAGCTGAAACCAGGACAACTTTTCTGAAGAAACCCCCATTTCTTCTCTTATATTTATACTGCATTTTTGTTTTCTTTAAGTACTCTTACTTCCTCATGTTAGAGAGCATAGAAGGACACAAGGAGAAAATTATCAGAGTAGTTATTCAAGGTCTGAGTATGAATTCAGGTACTTTGTTTTATATGAATATACTTTTAAATTTATTTTCTGGGAATTCAAATCTCAGGAATATCATTACTACCTAAAAGTCCTTCTCTGTAATGTACAAGTTCTATGCTGTGCACTTTAAGCTTGTGTTTTATTGATGCAGAAGACTGAATTTTAAAACCCTAGATCTATGAATAGTTGAATATGTCCTAATTTTCCATGTGAGTAGTTCTATTCAATTCAATATCTTATCTGAAGTATACAGCAGAACAGATCTCAGATTTGACTGTTATTATTTTGGGCCCTTTATACTATGTGCTCTTAATTATTTCTATTTCAACCATTGTTAAATGTTGAGCTGAAGGTTTTCACAGAATTTAATAAAAAAACTCCTGCCTCTGTGTTGACTACATCCTGCTCCTTTTCAGTTCAGCCAATAAGCTGTTGTAGCCTTTGGTTTACACCTTGACTCCCTGGGCCAGCCATTGTTCCTCAACAGAACAAGGATCACGCAGCCAAGTAAGTACGATTTTGCTATTACCAGCCAAAAGCTGCAGGCTCTTTTTAGGTTCACAATTATCTAGTGGTGAAACAACTATTGCCTAACCTGCTTTAATTTCAGCTCTGTGAATAGGAAAAAGACTGACAGACCTGGGTAGTGTACTTCTAAGAAACAACAGCCCTTAGAATTAACTGAGGCTGTGGAAAGCTTTTGTGAAATTTTCAAATGTTTGCTGAGAACCAATGAGAAGGAAGCAGGCTGTGATAAGAAATAAAAAAATTCACCCCATGCAAACTCCAAACTAAGGTTCAAGAACATTCCTCTTCCCCTAGTTTCTGGAGGAGATCATAAATCCACCCCTGGCGGCAGATGGTATCACTTGACTGTAGGACCAACAGAAACACTGGAAGGGTGAGCATAACAACAGACACACTGGGGAGGTTCTTTCACAAAACAGTCTTTCCAGAAACACTAATGAAGCTTTTCTATATTAATTAGGTAATTTTACATGTGTTTGAATGGAGGAACAGGAAATTTTAAACCGCTAATGCTTGATGAGCCATCAGGGTATAGCATAACACACTATTCTTCCCAGACTCACACATGTAAGCTGGCAGACAAGAAGGCTACACAGGGAAGCCAGAGTTTATTTCAGGTAGCAAGGCCTCACAGCCTCACAAATGAGAAGTCCTTTGTGCTCATTTTAAGAGTTAATGTTTCTGATGGGTTAGAAGAAGAAGTAATGGAGAAACATGCTCTATAACTGTAGACAGCTACCTTCAAGTTAATGACTTACACGCTGGAACTCACAGAATTTTTTAGTATTAGATCTTCATTCTTATATATACAGATGATAAATTAATCCACACAATATCTAGGTATTTAAACCTTTTAACGAGTACGATCTTATTTTTTTACTATGCCTTGTTGGATTTTGTAGCTACTTTCTTTTATATTTAAATGCATAACACTTGAAAAACTCTAATCATTGCAGAATATTCTTGTCTTCCTTTCTGATTTCTTCTGATTTACTAGGATAATATTAAATTAAACAATGACAAGTTGTAAGTCTATATGATGCAATAAATTTAAACCTGACTATGAGCTTTGGGCAGCTTCACCAGTGATCGGGAGACAAAATGGCAATGAAATTCAATGTTAATCGATGCAAACTAACACATATGGGAAAAAAATAACTTTAGCTATATGTAAGCAACAAAGAACCTTACTGTAGCTATAAACATTGAAGAAAGAAATGCAAGAGTTACTACAAACAATTCTCTGAAAAACATCACCTTAGTGCTCAGTAACAGTCAAAAGGTTACTACAAAGTATTAGACAAGAACAGAGAAGAAAATGGAAAACATCGTTATGTCTTAATATAAATCAAGAGGGATCCTCTTTGCAGTCCTGATCACCTCGTCTTATAGAAGATATATTAGAATTACAAAAGAAACAGAGAGAGTAACAAGGATAATCAGAGCTATGGAAGGGTTTCCCTAAAAGGAGATAACAATAGGGATCCTTCAAACTGGAAAACAGAAGACAGTCATCTGAAGTTATAAAAACATAAATCAAGAATGCTTATTTAGCATTTCCCTTGCCACAAGGGTCGGGGCCCAGAGTCCACCCTTCTCCTCCTCCTGGGTGCCTCGCTGCCTGTGGTTGAGGCCAGCTCTGCCATGGCGTGGCTGTGGGATGTGGGATCAGGCTGCTAGAAAAGAGCTTGAGTGGGGGGCCTGCCGCTCCCCTCACTCAGGAGCTCTGTATCAGCTCAGGCTTTCGCCCTCGGTCCTCGCCTGAGTTTGGTTGCAGCTGTGCCTGTGCCTGGACACGTATCCCACTGATTCGGACCTGACCCGTGGGCTGACTTCCCAGCCTGACCTGAGCCCCACCTCACCATGACGGACTCATCTGAAGAGCACCCCTAGGCCTGCTCTGCTCCTCCACCAGGGGCAGTGGGATGGGGCCCTTGTCTGCATGGACACTGCCTCGTCCAGCCTCGCTGCCACCCTCTGCTCCTGGCTTGCCTTCCCCACGGGGCAGCCAGCCCTTCCTGCTCCTGAACAACAAGATTATTTCACCCAATGAAGTTATGAGGTGAGAGATTTAACACAAACAAAAGGAAGTACATTTTAAAAACATAGTTCCGTTGCAGAGCTCAATGCCACAGTGCACTACAAAACCCAAAGATATTTAAAAAAACAGCTTATAAAGAAGCTTTTGAGGACAGGAGCATTAGCAGTTATTAAAATGATGACCTACGTGCAATCTCAAACTGAGAAACATGCTGACCACTAGGTGCAAGTGGGAAGATCACGTCTTCCCCATGTACCTGGTCCTGGCTGGCAACAGAGCAGAATATGGGCCAAGGTGGACCTAGAAAGACCTTCATGAAAGCTCCTATGTTTCAGGTCTCTGACAGCTGTAGTGGAACTAATAATGCCATTCCTTTAACAAGGCAACCCCCTAAGGCTTGTATCTGTCAAACAAGAAGGCAAGTTTCAACTTTCTGAACTTTACCTGCACAAATCTGATCCTGGAAGGTACTGGGAAAACCGTGAATGAAGAAGTGGAATTAATCGGAGATCACACCACCTTTTTTCCCACCTAAGTCCTGGGGATGCTGGCCATGAGGAACATGATAATGTATCCTGAAAAACATTAAAAGTTCCTTCTCAGTTTTGGGCTTCATTATAAGTACTCAGCAGATTTGGAAAGAGAGAGATAGACTTCAAAGACTTTATATTTCATTTGGCATTGTGTTCCACTTCCCCCAAATCATTTGGCATCAGTTTTAGCTAGCACTGGAGAAATTCTGAACTTTTTCTCACAAATAAAATAAATCTATATAAACCTCAACATCAATGTGCTTGGAGTAAGTATGAGGAACAGTATTCTAAAAACCTAGGGAAAACAGATTGTGTCCTTTTTTTGAAATGACTAGTCATGAATAGCAGTGAATGTGTACTACGTATCATGTCACCAGCTACTAGTTTTATACCTGTACCTTGAATAAAGCTGTTCTCTAAACTATTCACTATACAACCATAATTCAGTTGTTTCCTGTGGCACCGTATACATTTACATACCTGTCTATTCTATTGACTTCACCTCAAAACCTGGTAATTGTGAATAGGATTTAACATGTGATGAAAATTGTTTAGTCCAAACTACATGATGAATATTTTAATTTTACCTATTTACACAAGACATAACTTATATGAAAATTGAACTTTATCATGCCTATGATCATATCTACAAAGAGTGAGTATTTAAATATCTACAGTCTAATTTCACCAGTATTTTTACAGTATATAGATTTGAATGAGAAATGCTTATAAAAAGTGAAATTATCAAAATTTATTTTAAAAATTCCAAGACCCCTTCCTTTCTTTATAAAATGCTTTACAAAACAATGCTGGGGATGATGTTATTTTTCTGAAGAAGCAGGATTCTCACTGAAATGTATGTAGTACTTTTAGTATATCAGTAAAATTGTACCTGCTGATCCTGCATCATTTACAGTTTTTTTAACTCAGACTTCATATTTTTTTCTTACCTGTATCTTCTATTAAATAAATATTACAAAAATTAAGTACACCTTGTATTTTTTCTAGAGTGTGATTTTTGTGTAAGATCTATGGAATTATAAAGCTTTGACAAGTTGAACTTTACTTTTACATATATGTTCATATATCTTTTATGTATATAAAATAAAAGATGACTATGAACATCAGTTTAGCTGAACAGCAGGATTTTCCTAAGTAGATTCACTTATTTAAAACACTGAATTTCTGGTGAAACATTCCATAGATTCAATCCAAATAAATAAACGATTGGCTAGGAAGAGTAAGCTAGGACATTGTTTTGAACATTGTCTTGAATTTTTAACGTTTTCTGTCTGCTTTCAGGAACCTTTTTTTAGCTGTGATTAAATTTGAGGAAAAAGATGAAATGTGGCAAAAAGTTTAGATGCAAACTGTAGGCCTAGATCTGGCTGCAACAGAAATGCTAACCCTACCTTTAGCCTGCATAACTCTTAATTGTTGACAAAAGACCAAAACCAGTCCAGTCTACTCCAAATTCTGAGTCAGAAAGCTCCTTCATGCGAATCACCAAGCCTATAAATTAAGAAATAGACTAGGTCCATAAGTCATAATGCATTCTAGAGAATATTCTGAGAAAAAGGAAGGAACATGACATAAGACTTGTACATAATTTAGGAATTCATACAGAGGTCTCATTTGGTTTTATGAAGCATTCTATTCCCATTACAAGGGGACATCTGAGATAAGAACCCCATCCTGGTCTTCAGCAGAAAAATTTAATTTAGGGTGAATTATAGCCTCATGATGCCTGATTATATTATTTAAAATGAGAGAAAAAGACTTAGTTTCAGTAAATTATAATCAGTTCAGATAGAAACAGTAGCTAATTTAGATCAGCTTCAACACCTGCAGAAATAGGATTCACAAATGGAAGCATGGTTTTTATCCTAAAAGCAAAGTTAGAAATGAAGTTGCTAGCAAAATAAGTTTAGGATCTGCTGCAATAGCCTTTCTACATGCCTACACATATAGACTGTTGAGATAAGTCTGCTTCTGATGTTGTTGTGCTAGTTTTACATATATATATATATGTATATAAAAAATTATTATTTGACCTGCATTAAGATGCCAATTTTACTGTTTTTATCCCATTTTTATGAATTCCAGCTTCCATAAATATGTATAAATCCTAAAAGTTTTCCAGCTTATAATCAAGCTTACAATCTGTGCTATTGACTTTTAAGTCTCTGGGCTCCTATTTAAAACCTTTACCAGTGAAGTATGAAAGAACAATAAAACAAGCCAGAAATTAAAAACAGCAAAGTCTACCTACCAATGCTTACATTTCTGTTTTTCTAATATATCTGTAATAATTATGCTGTATATTGGTGTATTTATTCAGTGCTTTTTATTTTATCTGTGTATTTTCACCTATCACAAAGCCAAATACGCAGCAAAAAGCCCTTTAGAACTATATAAAATAATGGAAATTTTGATTTTCTTGGCTAAGAAAATTGTTAAAAGCCCCTTGTTGTACTTCAGAGGCATCTTTTACTAAAAATTTGATCAGACAGCTGTAGCATTTCATCCTAAAGACACTTTGCTCCATAATGCTATAATTTGTCAGTAAGATTTTCAGTGTAAATTACTAGAAGTAAAATGCTCTTACCTTAAAAATAAGCAAAAACATGTACCTAAAACATCCTTTGCCAAAGGTTTTAGATAATAAATTAAATAAAAATAATGGAAAAATATTCTGAAAAACTTTTCTACCTTTTCTTTAAATATTTTTATTTTAATAATTTGAATTCCTATGCTGCAGAAATAATCTAGAAGAAAAAACTTTCACAAAATCCCTATTGCATTGCCCAGACAAAAATAGTAATCACATCTATCAAGGCACAATCTCAGCTGGTATAATTTGTCACAGTTTAATTCTCAGCCATAATATCTGGCAACTCTTTTTGCCCCCTATGGAACTGTCTATCTCCAATGTTAATTAGAGCTCCTCCCATGTTGCTGTCCTTTATCAGTTACTTCCATTTAGCTATTACAGTATTATTATTCTTCTGTGTAATTCCATCAAAGAAATACAAGCTCTTACCGTGTTGTTGGGATGGTAGTTGAGATGCAAACCACTGTCACATAGGGGAGAGGATGTGCCACTGCTTTGGTCACTGGGGGCACCTAATGCAAACATGAATACACCAAAAAATATTAATTAATCTATAAAGCTATAATTCAAATTTGTATATGTCTATATGTCGGTATTCCCCCCGCACCCCTAGTTTTTTCATATCTAACATTCATTTACTTTCTCCGTTCAGCCAGTATCCGTCTTCTGGTTTGAGTGGAGTGGAGGCTCAAGAATCCCTGTCCTGGTGCTTTGCTTAAAAGAGTTAATAATCTGTTTGGTAAGAAAAAAACCCCAGAGGTTTTTTCAAATTTGATAATAAAAGGAAAGCATGTACCTCCTCACTCGTTTTTCATTTGAGGGAACTAGTCAGATAATGTTTTTGTTATTCTTGATGAATTTCACAGTTCTGACTGTTCTTGTAACAGTTTAGGAAATTACAGTGCTACACCTCAAAAGTAACATGATAGGATCAATGCAAATGCATGTTTGTGTGTGTTACTCAGGGTAATCTGTGGTACCACAAGCATTCATAAAAGGGACCAATGTACTGGAATACATTTTTACTTAAGGATATGGTGCTGTAAATTTTTTCTTGTCTCACTGAAATTTAATACCTAGATGAAAGATAAAGACAGTATTTCAACAAATTATTGTATAAAATATTATTTCATAATTCAGTTTACTTAATTCCTACTAACTTAAAATCAAAGACTAGAAGTATTGAAATCAAATATTTATTGTTTTGTTGCTTAAAAATTAAGCAATTCATTTTACCCTCTTGGGAGCAAGAAGCAGAAGGAAAGCAGTGGTGACAAAAGGCACAGGCTGACATATAAATATGCTTAGATATGCTGCAACTGTCTATAATTATGCACCCACACTTACAATTTAATATAATTAAAGGAAGACAGCTGTCTCCATATGCCTCTCATGGGGCTAGTTGACTAAAACTCTGTTGGACTTAAACAAAATACTAATCATCCCAGAGTAATTTATTTTTAGGTAGACAGACACCTCCACCAAAGCCTCTGAATTTTAAATGGTAAAGTTAAGCCCTCTAACTATACACACACAATCTCATTTTCACATTTACAAGACAAAACTCTTTCAGACTAAAATGTTATCTGATGCTGCCTGAAAAACTGCTTTTAAATACTCTGCATCAGGGTGTGAGCTACTATAAATTAATGTAATTCCAATGTTCTACCTGCAACTTTGCTGATTCACACCAGCCAAATGCCTGGTAATCTGTTTTTCAAGCAAAGACAGCAATTTTTTGCTTGAGGTGAATGTTACTACAAGACCTGGCAATACAAGCAGCTCATATTCAGGCAGCAATGCTGACCAAAAAAGCTGCCATCAGTCACTCTCAATGCACAGTAGGTTCAGAAGCTGCAAGCGTTCATGAGCATTGGATGGAGTTTTCTTTTGGCCAAGTAATAAAGGCTTACATGCACAATCTTCATTCAGTGGCAGTTTGAGAAAAGCAGGTGCTCTTTTCAGAAAGGACACAGTTAGAGTCACTTCTTCCCCCGCGTTGCGAAGGACCTGAACCTGGAAGAGAAACAAAGACAGGACACCTTGAAATAAATGTATGACCAAAATGCATCATGTAAGCAACACCACACAGCTTTCACATACCAAAACATAACTGCTTAGTACTTTATTGTAATGACTTTTTTCTTAAAAGAAAGCAAGATGTAAAGCTTTCTATATGCTTGTCTGACATGCTTCTAGTCACACATAGACTAGGCGGGGAGGTGGGCTTTGGCCTCCTATAATAGCACTGGCTTTGCACTGTACTATTGCACAACTTGCTCCCTGACATTGTTCAGCTGCGCACCTCCTTCCTTCAGATCTGGCATCATCCACACTAGCATGTATCTATAAAAAAAAAAAATTATTATTCCCTCCCCCCCCGCCCCGAGGTTGTATCATAAATCTCCAACCAAAAGAATAGCAGTGTTTTCCATAGCTGTGCCATAATCCTAGGAGTAAATCTTCCCAGCAGCCAGAGTTAAATTTAGCCAAAGCACTCCAGCATGGATGAGAGACCTAATCTTCCTTACAGCCACAGAGGAAAAGTACCTATTTTAAGCCTGAAGTCTTAGACAAGCAGAAGCTTGGGTTTTGCCAAAGGGCAGCTTGCATTTTGGACACAGGAATGCGTAAATCACCTATCCACCTGTGAATGCTTTTAGCCTTCTTGTACTCTCCCACAACTGCTCCTGCAGCTCTTGTTCATGTCTTTAGCTTTTGGGTGGTATGGCTGATAGACACTTCAAGACACACAGCAGAGAAAGGGAACCCCAGGCATCTCCCCAGAGTGGCACAAAGGAGGCACAAAAGCAGCTAAGCAAAATGTTATACTTAACAGTGGGGGAATAACATTTGAATTGGTTTATAACATGAGAGCCAAGAAGCTTCAGGTCACACAACTCTGTTTCAGAGCACAACCACTTCCTGTTCTTCTGGCTCTATAACTTCAAAATGCTTCAAGGGGTGATTTAATCTGGGCTTACAAAGACAGAAGATTGCACCATACCTCTATCTGAGTGACTGCACTCATACTGTGCAGAGAGCTGGCTCACTGGGAGCCGTGTTTGGAGAGCTACTACACAGTGACATTACACAAACATTTTAAACCAGCATATATTTATTCCCTTTCTGCTGTGTTTTCATGGTAGCTGGATAACACAGAGGTAACCCTTCTGTCATGCTGCTGCTTGTGGGAAAGCCTTGTAAATAATTTACGGAGGATTGTTATTCTTTAACCTATACCTATCAACAACCTATCCTACATGGTTACATACATGTATATAACTATATGCAGGGCTGCTTTCACATGGAATCACTGCGTTAACTTAAAGCAATTCCTCAAGAAAAAATGCCGACTTCGCCTTTAAACACAATACTTCCTACTCCATAGTGGTTGCTACAGAGGAGTAACAATATGATGTCAGGATATTTGATTCACTATCTGAAATCCACTTTGAAATTTTAGGCTCTTTATTGTTTAAAATAACACACTAGTTGTCAAAGCACAATTTACAGTGTAGTGTGTATTTATACGTATGTGTGCAAATACACACACAACAAATTTCATCAACTTAAACTGCATGCCAAAAACTTAATCTGTAACATGAGCCTCTTTGATGAGCACTTCCCAGTTCTGATATGTTTTATACCTTAGAATTTGTAAGTAGTACTTATTTCATAGAAAGATCACTTGTAATCTGTGGAACAGTAGATAAAGACTCCAAAGTCCTGAATTCCATCAGAGAAACCATACCATATCCTCAGCCTTCATAGAAAATTCATCCTTCTCCTCTCTTATGTAGCAGTCACACAGTCCAGAATAGTCATAGCCAAAGCAGAAACTTACAGGCATGTATTGTCTATTGAAATGACAGATGTGGATAGACGGAGTGCAGGAAAAATAGAGCTACCTTCTGCCTTTTAAAAAAAGTATTTCTTTTTACTCAGGAACAGGGAAGAAATAAGTGGAGAAGTTACAGCATTACCAACTTTAATTTATAAAGTCACCTTTTAAGATACCTAAGAATAAGTGGGTGTCATTTGTGAAAGAAGCTGAGACAGTAAACTCTGCCCCCGAATCTTTCTTTTTCCAAGAGTAAAACAAGCCATGAGCCTACATGATTTCATTTGATAATATATTGTTCTGTAAAGGCTAGAAGTTGCCATAAGTAGTCTACTGTGACCTCTTCCTCTAACCTCTCTCTCTCTCTCAAACTTCTTTATCTCATAGGATGAAGAATTTAAGCTGGTACACATTTTAGTTGAAATCAGCAATACTTATTTCACTGAGTGTATTTTGGAGTGTATGAAGCATATAATCCAGAAAGTGACTAGATTTTGACATGCAGAATAAAGACTAAAGAAAGATAAAAGTTTAAAAAAGAAAACTACTAAGTAATGATTACAACAAAGAGGAGACGAGCTATCAATCCCATTTCACTTACTTTCTAGTAAGTGAACATTAACAAAGCCATTCTGGGAAATAAGGTTAGCTGAAGAAAATAGGATTTTTAATTAAATTTATTAATTGCCTTTTTATAGCTTTCAATTGAAAGCTTTACTGTTATTTTACATTTTTTGTCTTTATTTTACGTAAGAGATGAACAATTACTGAACTGTTTTAAATCGAATATGCCTCATAGGATTCATTTACTTTGTGTCCTCATTCAGTGTGTACACCATACCGTAGTGCCATTCCTCCACACAGAAAGAGAATGAGGTACAATAGGAAATCTACTCCTACTGAGGAATATTTTTAGTGGCATACCAGAACAGCTTATGTTCACGAATGGAAAACTGATAACTTTTACAAAAAAAGATAACAGCCAAAAGTAATGTGACTAATTGTGATGGAGAGTTATGTTTATGAAAAAAAACCAAACAAACTAAAACCCACTTGAAAACAGGGAGTCAAACAGTTTGCCTGGAAGATACAATACAGTATGAATTTCTGGAGTTTTACAAACATGAGTGGAATTCTACCAACAGTCAGAGATACTGGCATATTAATTTTTTCTTCTCTCTTCCTCATTGCCTAACATCAGTTTAGCTTAAAACTTTGTAGAGCTATTTTGGTAAAATGAGGATTGTTTGAATGTAAAAGTATTGCTTGTTCAGGTTTGGAAAATGTACATTAATGAAAAATTAATTTATCTGCACAAATATACCCGTGTGCACCTGAAGAATTGGTAGCATATTCTACTAACAAAGCAGTAATGAGCTTTTACCAATGAAGTCAATTCATGAACATACTGAAGAAACTAGTTGTCAATCATGATGTAATTTTTAGATAAATAGATATCTGCTCAGCCATCCTGCTCTCCTACTTAAAAGAAAGCTCCCTCACATTTATTGTATATACATTGCCAATATCTTGTCAACCAAGCATTATCATTGACAAGGTATGTGTTCGTTATTTCTGGCAGTGCTAATTCTAGAAATATTTCAAGGTTACTTTCAAACATAAGAGGGAAGTAGACTATCTAAATCCTTTATACATCTTTTTCAGAGTCACAGCATATTTTCTGATTTATAAGGAAACCTTAGAGCTAGGTTGATCAGAGTAACTAACTCCAGATTTTTTGCCAGCACCATCACATACTGTATGCATGATAAAAATGAGTGAAGATTAAAAAGCTAGGGACTATTTTCTATTTCCTGCAAACAATGAAGCTCTCTCAAGAATTTCCAGTCATTTCGAAGACTCTCAGGATTTTTCTAATTTTGCAATGTCTACTTCAATATTTTGATATAATTATGTTAAATTCCTTACATTACTGATACATTAGTCCACAAATTATAAAAATGTGGGGTTTGGTTTGGTTTGGGTTTTTTTCACTCCATTCAGGGTTAATGTGTATTTTAAACAGCAAAAATAGAGAACTGTGGAGATCTTGATTCACTGAAGGTTGAACAGTGGCATTAAAGTGGTATCACATTTTTTTCATTAGATTAAAAAACCAACAGGTCACTGGAAAAAGTATACTAATTTTCTTCCACCCCCACTTCTTATTCTATAGAAATGTGTCTGGACCTTCCAAAAATAAATTTTACTAGGGTTACTGCATACAATTGCTGACTGATCACTGATTTCCAGGATGATCCCATCCCTCCCCAAAATATTCCCACATTGGGTAGAATACAACGAACATTTATCGTCTTGTTAAGATTAGCTATTTACTTGATGAGTGCCTACTCCACAATTGATTGCTTTCTTTTAAAATACAAAGTGGCTATTTTAAGAAATAGTGTTGCTATAATAAGTGTACAATCAAATTACCAAAGACAATGCTAACAGTTCTTATTAGTCCTGAAACAGAATTAGAATCTCATCCCCACTGTGTATAAATGGTAAAAACATTTTCAATATTAATGAAATGTAGCTGTATAAGTAAGAGATTTTCAGTTCATTACTGCTAATAGCGAAGGCATTTCTAAATTTACATCAAATAAAAATACTTAAAACATTTACCCTATTATGAGAAAAGATATAAATGTATCCAACTTCTAAACAGTGAAAAAGAAACATATTTTTGAAAGGAATACAAATTTTGAATAAATATAGAAACATTATTTCAAAAAGTTCAAAGCAAAAATGCAGCAACTCCCTAAGGGTTTTTTTTATCATCTATGAAGAGTTTAATGAAGGTGAGATAAATTCATAGTGCTAAATCCATGGAATATTTGCCTGACAAATATTTAATTCAGTAGTAGACCTAACACTTCCAAAGTCTAACAAGATTATATCTCCCCACTGCAAGTCATGGAAAAACTCCCTTCGGAAGAGATCTGTATGTCTATGCATTTGACCTGGCAATTTCTAAAGCACTGCACCCCGGACTGCAGAAAATGCATGACCAGGCACCATTAAAAAGATTTGCTTATTCTCTGTATCATTGAAAGGTAATAATCTGTTTTATTTCCAGAGGCTGTACTGACTATTCAAGATGTATGTTTTTTTTCTGTAAAGCCCTATATTTTTAATATTTTCGAGATCTTCCACAAAGCCTTAGATT